GGCCTATGATTGGAATACCTTACAATACTTAATGCAAAAAGGAAATACATTTATTACGTTTATTTAGTGTGAAATAAGTCTCTTGAGATGATGATAATGATGAGATGATGATGATAAATGAGAAGCATGTTCAAATTAATTTTGAGAATACACCACCTCATTTAGCCTCATAGTATCTCTGAGCAAGAAGAGGTTTTGTAGAGATGTATTTTTGTTTCAATTTTAAGTTAATAAATTAAAGCCAAATCACACAATCTTGGAACCTTCCTTGGAACAAAAAAATCATGTCTTAAACCTCCATGCAAAGCTTTGTTATTAGAGCATGTTATCTCAAGTAATTTTAGCAAATTTACTTTTTATTTCTGAAATTTAAATAATTATCATTACTGTAAGAAGCCAGAATATATCTGCCTATTGATGATTCTGACTTTTAAGAAGACCTCATATACAAAAACATCTCATAATTAGTGGAGTTTATAGTTTAACTTTTTTCTTCACTAATGTTCTTTACAATATGGACTTCCCATTGAATAATATAAAAGATTATATTTATCATTTTGTAATTACAAGGTTTATGTCTTTCATGGATTAGCTTAAATGCAGTTTTATTTTTAGCTCTCCTACACAAATAACTACTATACCATATACACAGATAACTACTGCAGTTATTTGTTCATGGGATTTCTTTTTTTTTTTTTTTTTGAGGCTGAGCCTCACTATGTTGCCCTCAGTAGAATGCCACGGCATCACAGCTCACAGCAACCTCAAGCTCTTGGGCTTAAGCGATTCTCTTGCCTCAGCCTCCCAAGTAGCTGGGACTATAGGTGCCTGCCACAACGCCTGGCTAGTTTTTGGTTGCCGTTGTCATTGCTGTTTAGCAGGCCTGGGCCGGGCTTGAACCCACCAGCCTTGGTGTATGTGGCCAGTGCCCTACTCACTGAGCTACGGGCACCAAACCTGTTCATGTGATTTCTTATTCCATTATATATTCTCCTAAGTTCCACTGAATATATTAGGTACTTAATAATTGTTTCTTGAATGAACATAAGTTTACCTGTACTTAGTGATAGCCATGTCAATAGAAAGGAGAAGTGAATGAGACACTTTCCCAGGGCACTTTTGGGGCATTTTCAATCTGGATTGTTTCATGTGAGGTTGGAGAGGGGGCCGGGGAGGGAATGCCATAAAAGGGAAGGGAGGTAGAAGATATATAGGAGAGATTCCATTAGGCACACTAAAAGGAATTAAAAAACAGATTTTATCATCAGAATAGATACCTGTTAAAGTATTAGTGTAATTAAAGTAAAGCTTCTTTTTGTGATGAGACCCTACTATATATTCTTGCTCCTGGGTATGTCTTACACACTTTCAAGCCTTTTGTAGACATCACCTGGGTGGTATAACCAGGATCAGTGGTAATGCCTCCGTATTTCTCCTGGGAAAGAGTCTCACTCACTTCTCCTTTTGATTGACTCGGTAAGAATTTTGGTAAGAAATTAAAAATTACAAAACGGTGGTTCTGGTTCTATTTTATAGACTCCTGTAAATCTCTTTGTATTTGTTGCTAACAGTGATGGATAACAAAGATTTAGCTCAGGTAAGGGATTTCTGGTAAGGTTCCTTATCATCAGAATAAATCCCTGTCCATCTCTGAGTTGTTGCCTTAAAAAAAAAATCCTCTCCGTTTACCTTAGAAATATTATTTCTACTTACTTTGTCTAGATATTTGTTCTGGTGGGCCCTAATCTTGTGTTAGGAATGAATACAAATACCTGTCCTATTTCTCACTTCAGCTTTTTTCTGCAACTTTTATAAATAAGATCTTTTGAATTTTCCAGATTTTTAAATAGTATGTTAGCAAAAAATTGAGCAATGGCGCTGAGCTTTTTCAGTGTTTTCTTTACTGTCATTCCAAACAACCGTTCATTTTCTCTTATGTCTTTCCCTTGGAATCTTCCACTGATTACCTTATATGTATAGACTTTTCTCATCTCTGGACCAGACATACTGGATTGCCCTCCTTTATGTTACCTATGACATACAGGAAGAATTAATGTGTTGTTTCTTCAGCTCAATTTGAGGCACATTTTGCCTCATGAACTAAATCGTCTTTATAAATTTCCATTTTCCTTTCTGTTATTTCTCAGCTCTGGTGCTCAAAGCATTAGGTTCTAATTAAACTCTTTTCTTAAAACACAGTAGATATGCTTTTCTTTCTTTCTTTTTTTTTTTTTTTTTTGAGACAGAGCCTCAAGTTGTCCCCCAGCTAGAGTGCTGTAGCATCACAGCTCACAGCAACCTCCAACTCCTGGGCTCAAGCGAGTCTCCTGTCTCAGCCTCCCAAGTAGCTGGGACCACAGGCGCCCACCACAACACCCGGCTATTTTTTGGTTGCAGCCGTCATTGTTGTTTGGCGGGTCCGGGCTGGGGATTCGAACCTGCCACCTTAGGTGTACATGGCTGGCGCCTTAGCCGGTTGAGCTATAGGCGCCGAGCCCCGATATGTTTTTCTTAAATGTAGATATGAGACTTCTGTAAATAAAAATCTATAGCTCTATAGCTTCTAAACTAAAGGTCAAATGTTTTAATTATTATATTCCCTCACTTTTTTCTTTTCCTTAAAAAATATAAAGACTCATGTAAGATGTACTAGATGTCAGGTTTATCAAAACTCTCTGTACTATCTTTGTAATAATTCAGTATATCTAAAAACTGTTCTAGAAGAAAAGGTTTCTTGAAAAATATATGAAGGACATTTTCATTCATATGAATTTTAAATATGATCAAGTACTGTATTTCTCACAAATCATGAAAAATCTGACAAATGTCAATGTCACTTATCTGCTCTCTTGATAAACTGAGTCAATAATAAAGCTTTGGCTCAGTTTGAGAATATAATTTATTCCCAGGATCCTTGTATGATATTGTACAGAAATTAAATGATGTAGATCTCCCATTCCTGCGTGACATCACACTACTTTGTTCCTGTCAAGTCTTTTGTGGGTGAGCATGCTTATTGCTTTAGGAGTCTGCTGTGACTTTATAGTGTCAAGGAATCAGCAACTCTAGTACTTGATTATGGAAGCAATATTGACCAAATCTTGCTAAATTTTTCAGGACTCTCTCCAATTCATAAAAGCTAACTCTTACTACAATTCTTGATGGTATCTGCTTTCATATAAAAGAAAGACCAGCTTGCTATGACAGATCTGAACATGCAGAGTACCTCTTCTGAGTGAAGTGATTTTGTATTTTTCCTTCTTAGCTTTTCCCTTGGAATCATTTTATAGCCTCATTGTCTTAGCTTTTGTTTCTAGGACTCTACCTGATAGGATATAAAATATCCCTGGAACATGATTTTAGATTTGGGGTTTGGTGACTACTTTATTCAATCAAGGTTTATATAAATTGAGAACTGGTTACTTTGCCTCTCAAACTATGTAGGATATTAGAGTCTACAGAGTCTATAGAGTCTAGAGTTTATTTTATTTTTTTATTTTTTGAGACAGAGTCTCACTTTGTTACCCTTGGTAGAGTGCTGTGGCACTCACAGCAACCTCAAACTCTTGGGCTCAAGTGAGTCTCTTGCCTCAGCCTCCTGAGTAGGTGGGACTATAGGTCTGCCTGCCATACCACCCAGCTATTTTTAGAGACAAGGTCTCTTTCTGGTTCAGGCTGGTTCTCGAGCCTATGAGCTCAGGCAGTCCACCCGCCTCAGCCTCCCAGAGTGCTAGGATTACAGGCATGAGCCACCGTGCCTGGTCTAAGAGTCTGTTTTTAAAGGTGTCCATCCTCTCTCTTGCCTTGCAGACAAAACAGCTTAGAAAACTGATCAGACTGAAGAGTCCATGTCAAAACATACTGTTATGTGAAGAACTAAGATGCCTAGGGATATTTAATAATGGCTTATATAAATTAGAGCAGAAGTGAAACTTTGGGCTAGAAAAAAAGGGAGTTCTCTTATTAGTTAACCATTCGTTGTCTATGGTAAAGTATACATTAAGAAACATGGATTATTAGATTAAAAATAGGCATAACATATTTTTAAGACAGCCAGTATAAAACATGCTGGTAGCTGTCATCAAGGGTAGTTAGGAAAAAAGTTCTATACTTGGTATTTTGTAATTGTTGAACTCAGATATCCCTTTACTCAATGGTTTTTATTTTATAATGAAAATGTAGGTTTGGGGGTTGTGCCCATAGGTCAGTGGGTAGGGCACTGGCCACATATACCAACCTAGTAATGTAGATTTGGGGGCAGCGTCCATAGCTCAGTGGGTAGGGCGCTGGCCACATACTTGAACCTAGCCCAGGCCTGCTAAAACAACAGTGACAACTGCAACAACAACAACAACAAAAATAGCTGGGCATTGTGGTGGGTGCTTGCAGTCCCAGCTACTTGGGAGAGAATTGCTTAAGCCTAAGAGTTAAAGGTTGTGAGCTGCGACACCACGGTATTCTACCCAAAGTAACAGGCTTGAGACTCTGTCTCAAAAAAAGAAAAGAAAAGAAAGAAAACATAGATTTTGGTTTGTAACGTGGCGAACTTTGGAGAACAATGGGATTATAGATAAACTATAATTTTTTGTTTAAGGTATTTTGAGCCTCCATCACGGGAGCTCAGAATGCTGAAGTGCTGCTGGAATAAAGCATCTGTTCTATTTCTTTCATAAAGATCTCAACTATGTAACTTTGAGTTCAGAGATAATTATATTTGTATGTTCTAAGTTATAAGATGAAAGGTTTTTTAGTTTAACTGCTTAATTTTGCATTTGTCTAGTGATATTTTGAGGTAACTCTTCTTTTTCACTGCCAGCTCCTACATGTGTGCTTAAAATTTTCTGTGGATTTTTTTGCTATCCAATCCTTAAAGCATATTCTTTGCTTAATAAGAATCTATTGGCTTAGTCTTCATCTACTATGTGACTTTTGATACTTTAAAGAGGAGTTATCCTGTCTGTATAGTTTACCTTCACTTTGTTTCTCTTTTTCCCTGATAGAATCCCAAGGACTGCAGCAAAGCCAAGAAACTGGTGTGTAATATCAACAAAGGCTGTGGCTATGGCTGTCAGCTCCATCATGTGGTCTATTGCTTCATGATTGCATATGGCACGCAGCGAACACTCATCTTGGAATCTCAAAATTGGCGCTATGCCACTGGTGGATGGGAGACTGTGTTTAGACCTGTAAGTGAGACATGCACAGATAGATCTGGCATCTCCACTGGACACTGGTCAGGTAAGGAGCCTATGCAGCATGTCAGATGTCTGGATTGAACCACTGCATGACCAAATTATTAGATATCCAGGTACAATTTTAGGGATCATAGTCATCTCTTCCTTTGAATCCATTATTGCTATACATTATCCAGATAAAATCTAGAAGAACAATATTTTATTTAAAAATGTTTTATGATCTATTTCATTTCTGATATTCATATCTAGATTTAGAACAATCACTGTGCTTTTTTTTTTAAGGAGCATAATTTAATCTTTTCTTAATAATAATGATATACCTTCTACTTTTTAGGGTGCTTTCACACTATTTTGAGCTCATTTGATCCTCCTAATTATCATATGAAAGTAGACTAATGGTTCTCAAACATTAGCATACATGAGTATCACGTGAAAGGCTTGGTAAAGCACCAGTTTCTAAGTCAGAAGGACTGGGGTGGAGCCTGAGAATTTGTATTTCTGACAAAATGTTCACATTTAGAGACCATGCTTTGAGTACCACCAACGGTAGACTTTGCTAGTAACTTTATCTCCATTTTACATTTGAGAACAGTGAAGCCTAATATGTTTATGTGATTTTAATTTTGTTCACGAAACGTTTGATGAAAAGTAGTGTAACCAAAGTACTATGCTAGGCATTATACGGCAGTAGATCAGTAGGAAATTTGCCTTCTGTCTAAGGAGGTGGTGACAGAGGGACTAGACTATAGATAGTTTTTTACTGCTAGTCTAGTTCACATCTTTCTATAATCATGATCTTTAAACAAGATCTAAAGTTGGGGCTACCTTTTATTTCTTTATTTTTTGAGCCAGAGTCTCACTGTGTCACCCTAGGCAGAGTGCTATGGCGTCATAGCTCACAGCAACCTCAAATTCTTGGGCTTAAGTAATTCTCTTGCTTCAGCCTCTCAAGTAGCTGGGACTATAGGCACCCACCACAATGCCCAGCTGTTTTTTGTTACAGTTGTCATTATTGTTTTAGCTGGCCTGGGCCAGGTTCCCATCCGCCAGCCTCTGTGTATGTGGCTGGCATGGTACCACTGTGCTACGGGTGCCAAGCAGGGGGCTACCTTTTAAAAAAAGCCTGGCTTTATCATTTTGTAATCATGGCTAAGTTACTTAACCCAGGCCTTATTAGTTCAATGAGGAGTAGTAACTTCCATATGTCATTGAATTCTTGGTAGGATTAAGTGAAATAAAATATGTAGTACCCCTAACACAGCACTTGATATATGAGCTCTAGTAATTTCAGTAGCCTTTATTTATACATAATGAGTGCCTGTAGTGTGACAGATACTGAATTAAGTGATTAGGATAAATGCCACGCAAGACAATATCTGCATTTATATCTTATGAGAAGTCAAACATTTTTCAAAAAGCTGAGGCATTTCAGTTAATGTCATTTGTCTTGTGGCTAAGCACCTTTCCCCCACAATTTACAATGCTAAATATGAAATAGCTATGTCCTTAACAAAATGAATAACTTTAGATCCTTCATTTCTTTTGCCTCCTTTGGAAAAAATTAGGTAATACCTGACTTTATAGAAGTGTCATGAAACTTAATTGATTAGTTACTGTAAAATAGGTTGTTCTGTAAGAGGTCCTGTATGAATTAAAAGTATTATTTGGTAATGTGATTATTATCTCCCATAGAAGCCTTCTTTTCTGTATCGGCATATTTCTTTTTACTTTGTTACTTCATATTTTGAAGTGACCTCTTAATCTAGAACCTAGCAGAGCTTTAGTTTTAAGGTTACGTGTTCCACTGATCTGGTTCTGTAGTTCACAGCTGATGCCAGCAGATTAGGAATAGAGATTAGGAATACACTAAATTTGTCAGCCAAGAAAGGCAACTCTGCCAAGCTCACTGTGGCTAACTTTTTTTAATTTCATAGGCTTAGTTCAGTTGAAACTTCTTTGATGATGCCTCCCTGTTTAATGGTCTAAACTTTAAAGTATATTGACTTTCAGGCTATATATGATGAATAGCTTCCAATAGAAAACCCCATTTAAATTCAGGTTTTTTCTCTTGTAAAAATTAAAAAAATTATTCATATTGCCTGTTAAATTACTTTCACTGTATTTTTTCTTCTATTGTCTTTTTCCTGCCGCCTTAAGACATACATAATAAATTGTACTGGATTATTTAGTATGATAAATCTAATGGGAAAACTTTCTTTATAAATGAAAATAATGACTGTTCAGAAATAGCATTTGTAATTATGATGACGTTTGATGTCCTAGAGATGAAGTGTCTGGATTAAGTACATGTTTAGGTAGATTACCATTTGCTATATTTATTTATCTAACCTGGATAGTTACCTTCTCTCTTTGCCTCATTTCAAAAGGTTTTGATCAAAGAGTTTTATTTGACATCCTACTGTTTTATGTGGAGGCAGCCTTAAAATAAAAGTAATTCAGTTAAAGCACTTTCTATGTGCCAGGCACTCATGCCATATGACATGAAGAAGATAATCTAGGGCAGTGGTTCTCAACCTTCCTAATGCCACGGACCCTTTAATATAGTTCCTCATGTCGTGGTGACCCCCAACCATAAAATTATTTTCATACACCTGTATGTGTACGAGGTGTATGTGATGGTTTTAGGTGACCCCTGGGAAGGGGTCGTTCGAGCCCCAAAGGGGTTGCAACCCACAGGTTGAGAACTGCTGGTCTAGGGGAAAGGCAGACACCTGAATGAGCACTTAAAATATGTTGAGATGATGTGGTATTGGTGAGTTAAGAGTACCCTCCAGCACATATCTAACACATATTTGGGCTTTTGGAAGGAGTGATTTTTAAGCTGAGACATAAAGTGTGAGTAGGAGTCAGTCAGGAGGGATGTGGTAGAAGAATTTTCTCTCAGTGGGCACAACATGTGGAAAAAGAGGTGAGAGATCATGATGGTCATTGTGGGAACTATTGGTAGTTCATTGTGAAGCCTGAATGTTGAGAGACTAGTTAATGTTTCATTTTGAAAACAAGTATCACTTAGAGGGTGTCCATTTGGATGGTTTTGGGATTTTGTCCTCACTAAAGTCAATAGGTTTTAATTCAAGGGTCAAAGCTCTTTGTTTTTGGTTCAGAGAGTGAGCTGAGTTATAAGAACTCAAATTGCTTTTAGCTGCCTCTTTGTGTTATCTAGGAACTATTAAACTATATCTCACGCAAGTCAGACGGAAAATCATAGCAGGCAGAGCACAAATGAATCATATTTTAAATTGTACCTGTGAAAATAATATTTTTAACCTTTACAAAATTACTAAGATGTCTATTAGAATCATCTATTTTAATTCACTTTATTCTTAATAATGACTAAACTTAGGTAGATTAATTTATAAACTAATATTAAGCAATAATGTGATTTTCTTTTTTTTTGAAACAGAGTCTCACTTTGTCGCCCTCAATAGAGTGCTCTGGCATCACAGCTCTCAGCAACCTCAAACTCTAGGGCTTAAGTGATTCTCTTGCCTCAGCCTCCTGAGTAGCTGGGACTACAGGCACCTGCCACAATGCCTGGCTAAGCAATAAGTGATTGAAGATATATAGGTATAATATGGCTATTAAGATAGGCTATAGATATGTTTCTGTTTAGTATTTTTTGCAGCAATAATTCAGTCTTTGATGATTAGATTAGTGAAATTGGGACTGAGTGTACTATTTTAGGTCCCTTAGACTGCAAAAAATGTTGATTTCTCTGTTGAGGTGATTTGAGGGAAAGGAAAGATACTAAAACAGTGAGTCTGATCCCAGTTCTGTTGATTTTAGCTTTCTTAACTTCGACATTTAACTTCAGCTTCTGAACATCTGTTTAGCTTTAAAAAAAAAACCTCACAACACTCATTACCTACTACCCTGTTCACCTTTATAGGGCTGTAATCACAAGGGAGAATGATTAGGGGCCATGAAAAGTATTAAAGTGGTTTCTACATATAGTATATTTCCATGGTATATGTTTTGTTCTCAAATTTTAAAACACAAAAATGCTACTAGAATATACAGAAGGAGCAAAAAGAAGTGTACATATTTTAAGAAATGTTATGTATGTATTAACTTTTCAAAGTTGAATTGAAGGTACTGTCCAGTGTTCCTAGACATGGTCTGCGTATGTATTTTACCAAATTTGTATACTTTGGGGGATTGATTGATTTTACTTCCAATAAGATCTCTTTAAATGTGTATGCATTTTTTGGCACCCCCCCCTCCCCAATATTATCAGATTATAACCTACAACAACTGGAAAGTTACCCTTTTACTCTGAGATGAAAATCAGGCCTTTATTAAAAGCTTTATATATATATATATAGTTTTTCCCTTGTAAAATTACAAAGTTAAATGGAAAATTTTGAAGAGATACAGAGAAGAAAAATAACTTCTGAGGGTAACTTCAAGATAGTAGAATATCTGTGTTTTTAATAAACCCACCACTTAGTCATAATAAAATTTGGGCTAGTCTTAGTCTCTCTGAAGGTACCTTAAGCCTCCAGCCATTCTCAATATTTTTATACCTGAGATAGAAGGTATATTCTAATATGTTTATGTAGTCAAGATTCTCTGCCCTTACCCCACTTCTTTGAGCATCAGTGACCTAAGCAACTATCATTGTAGATGCATGAGGATTTTTTATTTAATCTCTATATAATTTCTTTGTTTTGCTACCATGGTCCATAAAGGAAAGAAAAATATTGGTTTCAGTAATTTAAAATACTCTTTAGAATATATTTATGTCTCAGACTCAAACTGCTTTTCACTATAACATTTCTTTTATTTTCAGTTTCTAATTAAGGAGATAGAAAGAAATTTCAGATATCTCATTAGGATCATTAGGAAATACGGGGATCTGAAGAGATCTGAAGTTTGCCCACAGTACAATGAACCTATGTTCTTATCCAAGATTATGAATGTTTATTTCCATATTTATCCTACAAGTGCTTCTCAAATTGAGTTTTAAGTGAACTTTGGAAAAGTGAATCTAAAGTTTGCAAAATGCCAGAATAAAGATGG